TCTCTCTCTCTTTCTCCCTTCCTTCCCCTCCATAAAAAAAAAATATTAAAAAACATGTTAGACTGTAGGGTGCCTGGAGACTAAGTCCCCTGCATGGTGCAGGGAGCGGACAAACTCAAGACTTCATGTTAAGTATGCACAAAGAAAAACTGGGGGTAACCACTAAACAAACAGAAGCAGATTTATAATTCAGTGAAAGGAAACATAAAGCACAGAGAGTAAAGTAAGGTGAAGAAAAAATAAAACATAAGTGGACAAAAGAACTGGCAGAAGAAATTTCAAAATCAGATAGATTCTGTGTATATATTTGCCTACATTATAATGATAAACTTCAGTAAATCACATTGTTACAAATTTGAAGAGTCACAAATCACAAGAAGATATCTGCACCACAGATTATCCACTCAGTATTAATATCCTGAATTAAAACATTTCTAAATAAATAAGAAAAATGCAAACAGCCTGCTAGAAAATGGTCAAACAGGACTTCTGACCAAGATGGAGGCGTAGGTAGACACACTGTGCCTCCTCACACAACCAAAAGGACAACAAATTTAAAAACAAAAAACAAACAGAACTGACACAAAATCAAACTGCATGGAAATCTGACAACCAAGGAATTAAGAAGAAATATCCATCCAGACTGGTAGGAGGGGTGGAGATGGGCAGCCGGGTGGAGAGGACTCGTGGCAAGGCAGTGGCTGGTGGACTGGGCGGTCCCGCATTCACATTCAGATAAACTGGGAGGAACAACTAGGGAGCAAGACAGATTGCACAACCCAGGGTTCCAGTGTGGGGAAATAAAGCCTCAAAGCCTCTGACTGTAACCCCCTGTGGGGGTTGAGACAGCAGCATGAGAAATTCCCAGCCTCATAGGAGAGTTTGTTGCAGAGACCCACAGGGTCCTAGATGTACACGAGCCCACCTAGCTGGGAATCAGCACCAGAAGGGCCCAATTTGCTTGTGGGTAGTGGGGCAAGTGACTGAAAACCAGCAGAGAGTGCAGCAAGCAGCACTGTTCCCTCTCAGGCCCTGTCTCCCACACGCAGAGTCACACCAGTGACCTGGGTTGCCCCACCCTGGTGAACACGTAAGGCTCCACCCCTTACTACATAACAGGCAGGCCCAGACACCCCCCCCCAAAAAAAAAAGGCCTAAATGAAAGAACAGTTCAAAGCTCCAGAAAAAATACAACTAAGCAACGAAGAGCCAGCCAACCTATCTGATACACAGTTCAAAACACTGGTTATCAGGATGTTCCAGGAACTCACTGGGTATTTCGACAGCATAAAAAAGACCCAGGCAGCAATGAAGGTAGCATTATGTGAAATAAAGAAAGGTCTACAGGGAACCAACAGTGATGGAAAGAAAACTGGGACTCAAATCAATGCTTTGGATCAGAAGGAAGAAAGAAACATTCAACTGGAACAGGATGAAGAAACAAGAATTCAAAAAAATGAGGAGAGGCTTAGGAACCTCCAGGACATCTTTAAATGTTCCAACATCCATAGAGTTGCAGAAGGAGAAGAGGAAGAGCAAGAAATTGAAAACTTATTTGAACAAATAATGAAGAACTTCCCCAATCTGGCACAAAGAAAGATGTCCAGGAAGTACAGGAAGCTCAGAGAGTCTCAAAGAAGTTGGACCCAAGGAAACACACACCAAGGCACATCATAATTACATTATCCAAGATTAAAATTAAGGAGAGAATCTTAGAAGCAGCAAGAGATAAGGAGGCAGTTACCTACAAAGGAGTTCCCATAAGTCCGTCAGCTGATTTCTCAAAAGAAACCTTGCAGGCAAGAAGGGGCTGGAAAGAAGTATTCAAAGTCATGAAAGGCAAGGACCTACATCCAAGATGACTCCATCCAGCAAAGCTCTCATTTAGAATGGCAGATAAAGGGCAGATAAAGTGCTTCCCAGATAAGGTCAAGTTAAAAGAGTTCATCATTATCAAGCCCCTATTATATGAAATGTTAAAGGGACTTACTTATGTAAGAAAAAGAAGAGAAAAACTATGAACAGTAAAATGACAACAAACAGCTATTAACAACCACACCTAAAACAAAAACAAAAACAAACTAAGCAAACAACTAAACAGAAGCAGAATCACACAAATGGAGATCACATGGAAGGTTATCAGTGGGGGAGTGGGAGGGGGAGAGAGGGGGAAAATGTACAGAGAATAAGTAGCATAGATGATAGTACATAGAAAATAGACAGGGGGAGGGTAAGAACAGTATGGGAAATGTAGAAGCCAAAGAAGTTATATATATATGACCCATGGACATGAACTAAAGGGAGAAAAATGGGACAACTGTAATAGCATAATCAATAAAATATATCTAAAAAAATAAAACAACAACGAAAGAAAATGGTCAAACTAGTTATTCACCAAAGAGGACACTAGAATGGCTGCTAACTATGTGAGAAGATACCCCATTTCACCAGTGATCAGGAAAACTCTTCATTGAACTCAAATGAGTTGCATTTCACCGCCACCATTCTGGTGGGTTCTTCTGTGGAGCTAGTGGTGCATGAGCCGGGTCAGAGAGCAACTCTCCCAGGGGCACACGGAGGCTTATTTCTGAGGGATCACAGGAGCATTGTCAGTGATGGCAAACAAAAAAATAAAAGTAAAGGAAATAAATGCCCATCAACTAAAGAACAAGTATAAAATTGTCACTCATTGAATATACAGCCATAAAAATGAACTTGAACTACATACGACAAACACGAATGAATCCTACTGAAGCAAAAGCAGTTAGCTGCCAAACAGCGTACAAGCATGGTGTCACTTCTATCAATGCAGGCACAAAAAAACTGTATTTGAAGGCTACACAGGTCGTAGGAGTATGAAGACACACACGGGAAATCAGAAAGCCAGCGATCCGAACGCCAATGGGGCTTTAACAGCAGTGTCTGTTTTCCTTAGCTACGTGGTAGGTACACAAATGTTCATTGTGATTTTCACAACTTTTTGTGTTGGGAAAACTGTTATAAATTTTAAAATAGTGAAAAAAGGCAGAAAATGGAGACATCTATTCCAAGAATTTTACTATGAAATAGCAGAGTTGAGGGAGAGTTTTAAAAAATAAGCTCCTGATATTATTAGCCAAGGAAGGGTTCTACTTCCTCGCTGGCGCCCCTTCACTTCCCTGACAGTTCGAAAATGACAGGGGGGAGAACTCCCCAGCCCTTGAATCCTTGAATGTGGGCTGTACATAGTGACTTCTGTCCAAAGAGTACAGTACTGGGGGGGACTGAGAGGGAAGAGTGACTTTACTGTGGAGAATCCTGACAGGCACAACTAGGGCGGGTGACCAAGGTCAACACTGAATCCACAGTCACAGATTCTGTCGAGACATACACTTGATACGACACAAGGAAAACGGCACTTCACTGCCATCTTCCTCCCCCAAAGCGGGAACCACAGTCCAAGCATGAGAAAGAGCAACAGACAAATCCCGGCAGAGGGCCTTCCACACCCCTGAATGGTGCCGCCTCAGAGACCTGCGCCCCTAAGGGGAGTCTGGCCAAACGGCACAGCCCAGGGGAGCCCATGGAGGCAGGACAGCCAGGTACAAGGTGGTGTCCGGGGTGGGATCCTGGCACTGGGAACGGATGCTGGCCTAGATTCTTCCTCTGAAATGCCTCGGGCTCTTCAGAAGGTATAGAATCTGATATTTAATGTCTTTTAAAAACTGCTGAGAGTGGCCATCAAGCACCCACTTGACAAGTGTTTTCTGCCTCCTAGTGCACATCCATGAGCAAAAAACATGGATGTTTTTTAAACCTTAAAAAGGTTTTATTAAACCTCTTTTTCTCTTAAAGGTTTAATAAAACCTTTAAGAAAAAAAAAATGCTTGCCCTAAGAGGTAGTAAAGATTTCCCACTGCCTGAGCCAAGTCGGCCCCTATGGACACAGGAGGGCAGGGGTGGGAGGGGCGTGGGTGGTGGTTCAGATCTGAGACAAGGAGGGTGGAAGGTACAGTTAAAGAACAGGCAGGGGTCACGCCAGGAGCCTTTTATGCCATACCAAGCCCTTTGACCTCCTCTCGCACGGCGGAGAAGCTCTGACAAATTTTCAATAGTGCAAGGATATGATGAGAGTGATGCTCAAAGTCAGTGTTTAGAAAAGTTACTCTGATAAGTTTAGACCGGAAAATGGGAGAGAAAGTCGGCCAGTGTCTGAGGATACAGTGTTAGTTGGAGGAACTAAGATGAGGTACCTGAAAGCAATAGGATATGCAGACTGTGCACTGAGGGAGCTACAGCCTTAGGGCTTCAGTGGTATCCAAAACTGCCAATACAGCGGTAGTGATTAGGTAGGTGTCAGAGCCATTAAGACATATGAAGGGAGGCCCCCTAAAATAAAACTTATTTATAAAAAATTGTGTACTTATTCTTACATGTTTAAACTTCAGTCACCTTCAAAGTGCTCTCCATTTGACGCAGTACACCTATAGAGACGTTTTCTCCACTGCTCAAAGCAGTTTTTGAATTCATCTATTTTGATGTCTTTTAGTGCTTTGGCTGTTTTTTTATTCACCTCTTTTATATAAACAAAACATTTCCCTTGAGGACTTTTGTTCACCTGGGGAAACAAAAAAAAAGTTGCTCAGGGCGAGACTGGGTGAATGGTAAGGGTGGGGCACGAGGTCATACTGTTTTTGGTCAAAAACTGCTGAACATTCATTCACTCACTCAGTGCTTGGAAATCACCCATCATGAAATGGGCAAATGTGTTGAAAGAAAAAAAATTCACTGAAGCCAAACACAGCCTCCCACAACAATGCCAGCTGGTGCACTGATACAGATATACTCCTAGGACACTTGTCTAGCAAGGGCCCTGCCCTCCAGAAGATAATCCTGGTTTCTTGCACAACCGTGAGGGCTGGCTGAAGTTCCATCACCAGGAGGATAACTCTCTCGAAAGGAAAGTGGAAGTGGAGGTAAGAGCGAGCTGAGATGGGCCCACGTTCAGGCTACACTTCCAAATGCGGGCCGTGTGAGAGGCGCAGAGGGCGGGCACCGTGGGAAGTGGCAGAGGGTGCAAGTGTGTGCACGGGGGGCAGCATGCAGGTGTGGGCCGGGGTGCTGGGGGCTCGATGGGACTACAGAGTTGTCTGGAACCAGACTAGGAGTCAGACACAGTGGTCTTGCTTTGAACTCAATTTACGAAAAAGCCAGGGACAACTTTCTTTCTTTTAATTAAATAATTTCTTAATGAAGGGAATGATCAAAGTTCCAGAAGAGGAGCCACGTCAGGACCGCCTGGCTGGTCAGTGTGGTGCCAGGGAACAGGCGAGGAGAGCGCAGCGGCTGCCGTGCGACAGAAAGGCTGGGAGGGCCGCACGCCCCTCGGTCTCCTGGTAACCATGTTTTAAAAAGTAAAAACTGATGGGTGAAATGAACTTTAATAATATAGGTTGTATAGTTCAATATACCCAAGGTATTTTTTATTTCAACATAAGTAACTGGTCGCATTTTAGGGAGGTATGCGGTCGCCACATGCCTGGAGGCTCTGCACAGGCAAAACGTGCAGGAGTCAGCGGGGGTCACGTGTATTCTGCCTCCGCGAAAGAGGCCTGGAAGGTGGACGAGTGACCCTGAGATTTCAAGCTGGGGGTATTGTAATGATGACAGTGGCGCCACGAACAAAAACAAACATCACACACTGAGTCAACATCTACTGTTCAAGAAAAGATACAATGTTGCTATTATGGAACCGATGACTTTTATTTCCATGAAGAAAGATTATCACACCATTATTTAAACTTAACTGAAAAAATCCTGAAATAATTTAAACTGAAGGCACAGAACAAATTGAAATATTTAACTACTTATAAGCTTCAAATGACAAAATTCAAATTCAAATGTTTCAACAGTAACAATAAACTATAGACACATTTCCATCACCAAATATCATTCTGACCAAAAGCTATATAGTCTTTTGTAATAAAACCAAATTAGCTTAAGCTGATTTCAAGATTTCCATGATAAAAATACTGAATAATATTGAAAAAAGTTTCTTCTTTCAAAATACTTATTATATCATTGGATTCAATAAAAGTATTTTATATATAACAAAGTAGCAGTTTGGATATTTGTTGATGGATGACTACTCCCCAAGGAATGACACATTCTTACAAAATGTTTAAAAAAATAGCAAAGTGGGTTACAAAATTCTACTTGGAGAGCATGAAAAAAAAACTTGTTTGGTGTCAGGGCATCGAAACACTTCAATATCAAATTGCTTCCAAAGCCAATCACGACGCGACAGTAATGTACTGCACGGGGCATTCCACTGCCTCGGTCATCTGTAGGCTACAGTGTGGCGAAGGGGTGGAAAAAGCTGGCAACAACTATTGACAACAACATCTCTTAGTTATTCAAAAGAGATGTATTTTAAAAAATCATTATAAAACTAACTGGAATAATCAGTGACATGCTAGAATACAATGAGCCCCAGCAACGCAGCTGCTGAGTTAGAAACGAAGTCGCCGCGCTGCAGAACACAAAGCGGTGTTCGGAAACTTGTTCTCCAACCATCGACCACGATGCCATGTGTGACAAAGGTCACTTGTAAATTAGCTCAGATTCTGAACTCGGTTTCTAATGACACTTTTTTCAAGTATGCATAATATTAATACGGTAGGAACATTTTCCTCTTATTCACTCCTTTATGTGTTCAAAAGACAATCATACTGAATAAAGGACAAACAAAATGGGCTGGTCACAGTTTTCAAAAACATCTCAAAAATGAAATAGCCTAATGACCAAAAACTGATTGAAAGATATTCACATCTAAAACTTACTATTTCAGATTAAAAAAACACAGAGCTTTTTCTTAAAACAATTAAGTTCATAAGTAAAGAAATAATGTGGAAAAATGAGTTCCTACAACACTCAGGAATCTAAGCAGAATAAGATAAAAAAGGTGTAGCTTCTCTCTACTTAGCTGTGATATATATGTACTGAAAAGCAATATGGTTTTAGCTTTATCATCTAATTTAATTGCATAAATCACCGAAACATTTCCAGCTAAGTTTGCTGATTCAAGGATAATACAAACTCTAGAAAATTATTCTCAGCAAAAACTGCTTCAAACTTTTCCTATATAAAACATTCCTTTGGAAGGGAATCTTTAATGCTTTTGGACTGTTCAAGTAAATGCAGCTTTTAACCATCTCCAGCAGTAAACTATAATTATCTCCCAAATTCCCATTGCTGGGTAAAATTATCTTTCATTCTCTACTATTCTAATAATGGTATGTTATTTTTTATAAATCTCTTTTGTGGTGTTAAACTTGTATTTTCAACATCTATGAACACTGAGAGACTGAAGAAATAAACTGGAAAAATCACTTTGCAAGCAGCCTGAAGTTGTGAAATGTTGGCACCTACGAACAATGGGAGACAGTTACCACCTGCATTTAGAACGTATCCATTCGCAGCACTGGTGTATCAGCAAGAGCAAATGCTACTGCTAGTCTCTTCACCAACACTGGCCTTGGGCACGTGTAACTCCTCTGTGACTCAGTCAGCGAAAATAAAGAGGCACCAAAAGTCCTCTAATCTAGCCGGCTGGATCACAGTTTGGGCAGACTTCATTGTCGTTGGTCACATTTTGAAAATATGAACTCACAGGATTAGTGGAAGACTGTTTCCAAGCTGAATGAAATGTGGCTCACTTGGAAAACCACTTAAATAACAACGGAAGGACAATGTTAGTGGTTATGGGCCCTGTAAATACCAGCTTTGTCAGTGGCTCTGAACAACTGGAAACATAATAAAACTAAAGAGTTTTCTTTCCAAAACCTATGAAAAGAAAGATGTTTAACTCAGAATTAATTTCAAAATCTACACCAGGCTGCCAGGCCAGCAAATAACGGTCAGAGTGACTTTGTTCCTCTGCTCCTTCAACATGGGAACGAGTGCAGAATGGCTCATGCCCACTGTTGACAGGCCATTCACGGCCACGATCATATCTCCGCATCTAGAAAAAGACAGAAACAGAAAAAGAAACACTGTCATGATTTTCGTAGTATTAAAACCAACACCCTGAGATTTGTTTAGCAGGAAAATCCCAGTTTCACTGAATGTTAACCGCCAATGACTAAGGTGTACTATCTACTCTGAGACACATCTGGAGTGATCTTTTAATCCTGAATGGGTTTTCCATGGCCAATCAAAGACAAGCCTGCACCACCCTCTGCTGTAGCTGGCGGGTGATTTCAAGGACAAGAAGGTAACTTTCATATAAGAATAAACACAATATAACTAGGTGAATAAATCTTTTATGATGTTTTATTTTTAGTTTGTAATGTGAATATGCTATTTTATTGTTAGCTATCTCAATTTCCCTTTGGAAGTAGGTGTAATGCAAATTACGAACTAATTAACCAAGACCCAAACTGGTTACTTTAGCTAAGACAATGGTTAATTCATTTTCTCCTACTCTTTCCTCATAAAATAATGCTTTTTCCATTTTATAAAATAATCTGATAAAGGGCTGATCTGGAGCACACCAACTCTGATAGACTTTTCACAATATTATTTTGATGTCACTTGCTGTTCGCAAACACCGTAAATTCTCCAGCTGTACAGCATTTGATGTCACCATTTACTTTTTGACAACTGGTTCCTTCACCAAACACTAGGCACTAAAAACTTACAACCACCCACATCCTCTCTTGATACAATATCTTATTCTTCTTGCAGCACCTGAGCTTTGGAAAAAAAAAAGTGGCTGCATGTCGACCGAGCACGTCCGTTCTGCCCGGTGGTGACAACAGGCAGAGGGGTTCATGGGAAGGGTCCGGAGCCAGGCAGTCCTGGGTTTGAACTGCAGTCAGCCACGTTCAGCCATTTGATTGTGGGCAAGTTTCTTAACGCTTCTAAGCCTTAGTTACCATATTTATAAACCAGGACTAAACAACACTGTTTAAAAACACCTCAGAGGGTTAAGGGGGTGCAGTAACACATACAATCAATCACAAGCACTGGTACTGTGCCAGGCACACTGCCAACTACCAAACATTTGTTCGTCAAATATTTATTGAGCCCTGGCTGGGCGGCTCAATTCACTGGAGTTTCATCCCATATACCAAAAGGCTGTGAGTTCAAATACCCATCGGGGGGTGCATGAAAGGCAACTGATGTTTGTCAATCGATGTTTCTCTCTCTCTTTCTCTCTCTCAAATCGATAAAGCATATCCTCAGGTGAGGATTTTAGAAAGAAAAATGTTTATTGGGACTTTAGTACATATGCAAGGCACTATTCTGGCTGCCAGGGATATAACAATAAATGTAACAAAATCCCTTCCCCGTCGCCGAGTGGAGCTTGCATAAACACAGCGTTCGGCAGACCTCAGCGCTGTGGAGAAGGACAAAGCAGAGCCATCCAGTGACAGGACCGGTCCTGAGTGGGCCGTGGGGCAAGGCTGCTCCACACTAGTTGCCCCAAAGTGTGTGCGGGGCAGCGACTGATGCAGCTGCACCACAAGATGAGTGAAAAACGGAGCCACGAGTGGCCAGACGGTTTCGGCAGTGCTCCAGTCTGCATTTGAGCTGGAAGATTTTTTTTCTGCAGAGGGCCAGGCGGCAAACATATGTTTTAGGCTTTGCAATCACACGGTCTCTGTCACAGACTCAGCTCTGCCACTGAGGCTCAGGAGCAGTTGCAAGACAACACGTAATGAGCGAGTGTGGCCATGTTCCAGTAAAACTCCAAGTACAAGAACAGACAGCTGCATTTGGAGCTGGCCCCTGGCCTGGGCCATGTCTATCACATCAGCAATACAACAAGACTCACTTTAATCTTCCGTCATAATAAGCAGGTGTTCCCAAGACAATGGTTTTAATGAAGAAAGGCTGATTGGTGTGGTTCTCTTCATATCCACCAACAATGCTGAAGCCCCAACTTCCCAAGTTGCTCCGTCGTAAAACTATATCATGGCAGCTGTGAAGGGAACTGCAACCGAACACAAACATCGGGCAACAATTCACTTTTGTTAGAGCTGCTACACCACGTCATACTACCACCGACAGAAAAGGGAAAGGGCTCCTTCATTTCCTTCTGAAGGCACTGTTTAGCCCACCCACTTTCCAACACAGATGCAGTCCTTGAACACACACACACACACACACACACACACACACACACACACACAGAGGATTTAAATAAACTGGGTCATGAGTTACACCTCAGAAATTGTGTGAGATGGTTCTGAGCCTGTACTGTCAACAGGTTCTCTGATCTAATGCCCATTTGTATCTCCAAAATCTGCCTCCACTGAGAGGCGGTGGTGCGGGGTCCAGTCCCACTGCCTTTAGCACTCGGGTGAAAGAGATGAGCAGCGAAGCAGATACCCCCAAATGTAAGATCCCTCTTTTTAATCTACACAAGGAATTAAAAGTTGTGTCTTTTTCCTCCTTCACTTAAAATGCTTTCACTTTAATAGTGACTCTAACTGACAAAATAGGAAAATCAATCCAGGAAATAGTAACAAAAAAATCTATTTCAGTTTTGCTGCACAGAATAAACAGATATGAAGTAGTTAAAACATCTTGTCATAAAAAAAAAAATCCCTACAAGGTCCCCATACACAGCATCCCCACAGGTCCCTGAGACATGAATTCCACTACAATTTTAGGCCTCTTTTTTTTTTTAAACCAAGAAGATAAGTCAGCAAGCTAGATTATGAACAAATAATCTAATAATCCAATTGGATAATCCAACACTATGGAATAATCCAATGACATCCTTGCTTCTTTGTTGTTCTTTCTGTGAAAGTGCTTTATAAGCCATAGAGCACTATACAAATTCTAGTTATTCCAAATTTATTCCAAATAAAGCTAGATAGCCCAGAAACTGGCACATTTTTATTCTTTATTTTTATTTTAAATGAGTAATTTTCATACTTTGTTAAGAGTCAACATGTTTCATCATCGTTCAGGTTTAGGATTCTTTTATATGCTAAGACTCTAAATTTAAACTGATCTGAAAACAAAGACGGTGACGTGCAGTCCTCCCACCTCAATATCAAACTGTGCAATAAGCCCCTGGAGGCCCAGGTGCTTTCGGGACCAGACTCCGTGCTCCCAATGCCTTGGCCGGTCAGTCGCAAAGCAGTGAATTCTTCACAACTGTGGTCAGCAGCAGCCACTCTCAAAACCAATGACTGGACTTAAGATTCTTATGCCCAATAAAAACTGAGTTTACACCCTGCTATTTTAGGAGAGTTAAAAGGATTAGGAACATAGGGCTTTTAGAAAAATTTCTGGGATGGGACAAGGCCTGCATGGGAGGGCTGAGCGTGGGTCAGAGCGAACGCCCACAAGGGCAGCTTTCCTGACCAGGAGATGGAGAGTCCATCTCGTTCGTGGCTGCCCACTTACCAGCCTTAACATAAATTGGACAGATGGCTTCATACATTTTTATAAAGTTATGTCTTTTAGCTTAGTTCTTATTATTAAATTTATTTTTAAAACATAAGCGCCTAAGAAAAATGACCATTCTCTTTTGTAACTTGATTTGATGTTGCTACTTTTTTCTAACCAAAGCCTTCTTTCCCCCCTAAGTGAGTGAATTTACTGGGTTCCACACTGACAGAGGTTGTCATTATGGTTATTCCGTAACACACAGAAAAGCTGTCAGTACCTTGGAAGCCCAAGCCACATGACCCAGGATGGGGACCAGCTGGCATCATACTCGTTTTCACTGAACGTGCTTGGTTGCTCGTCCGTGGCCTGCGTGGCCTCCTCAACAACTTGCACCTCAAGTGCTTTAAGCGCAACAGTGGGGGATGCAGCACTGGCTTTCAGCATAGCAACAGCCTCACTGTGACTTAAACTGGTCAGATCAATGCCATTGATATTCAGTAATATATCACCTGTTGAAAGGACGAGACAAAAAAAATACGGTGAGCTACCAAGTGATTATTCTCCTGCAAATTCTCCTACTGGTAAACTAATCAACAAAAGCTGGTTTCAGTGTCTCAGATGAGATAACATAAAGGACCATTTTTTACTTCTTTGTGGTTTTTTATAACACTGAAAAAAATCTAATTCATAAAAAACACTCCACAACAATTTAAAAATTTATAATAATTTCATAGCATATAGAAAGAAGGGTGGCTTGAGGCACCGCGACTCACCCAGAAGTCCACACCCTGAGCCCTGGCGCGTCCCTGGGTTAGCTGGGTACAGGCCCTGGCCCGTGCATTTCTCTTCTCTGAGATTCCCTGATTTCTGCTGTTCTTCCCAACTCAGAAATTACTTGATACTTTGCATTTAGAAATAAATATTTATATTCTCTTTTAGGTTATATTTATACAGTCTTATACATAGAGACAGCCCTACACAGTTTACTCAGTGCAAACATGCTGCAACATGTAAAGAGAGGATGTCTTGGGCCCACACAGACGAAACTTGTGGTCTGAATATTTGTCTTGCTTGAGAAAGAAAAAAGTGTTTGTTCCTCTGTCAGGCAATATAACAAAAAGGCAGTGAGGACTAAAGAAAAGGTCGGGGAGGGAAGGACTCCTCCTCTGGGAGGCACGCTTTGTACCCAGACAGAGTCCTGAAAATCCTCCTCTCCTTAAACATCATTTATTTTTCAGATTGTTAAAGTAAAGCATATGCTCATGGTAGAAAATTTAGAAAACATAGTAAATAACAAGAAGGAAATAAAATTGCTCCCAACTCTATTACTGGACAAATAACTTTAAAAAACAGCAGCCTTATTAAGATATTATTCATATAACATTCAATTCATTCATTTAAAGTTACAGTTTTATGGTTTTTAGTATAGTCACAGAGTTGTACAACCACTGCACATCATTTTAAGATGAACCCAGAACACACGCACCAGTCAGCAGTCACTTCCCTTCTACCAGCCCTAAGTAATTGCTACTCTATGTTCTCTCTGTACACCTGCCCATTCTGGGAAGTTCACATAAATGGAGCCAACACGTGGTCTTTTGTGACTGACTGGCTTTTTTCCATGGGCATAATGTTTTCAAGGTCCACCTAGATTGTAGCCTGCGCCAACACTTCATTCCTTTTTACAGCCAAATAATATCCCATCATTTTACCACACTGTATTAATCCACTCACTAGCTAGACATTTGGGTTGTTTCCACTTTTTGGCTATTACAGAAAACACTGCTATGAAAGTTCACATACAAGTTTATGTGCCGTCACATTTTCATTACTTCAGGAACAGAACTATTAGATCACACAGTAACACTAGGTTTCACTTTTTTGAGGAACTGCTAAACTGTTTTCCAAAACAAGTGTACCATTTTACATTTCTGCTGGCAGTGTAAGAAGGTTCCAATTTCTGCATCCTTGCCGATGTTTGTTTCTGCCTGCCTTTTTTATTATATTCTCCCTTGCAAGTGTGAAGTGGCTTCGATATGCATTTCCCTAATAACCAATGACAATGAGTTTCTTTTCCTATGATCATGGCCATTTGTATATCTCCTTTGGAGAAACGCCTATTCGGATCCTTTGCCCATTTTTCAATTGGGCTATTTACCTTTTTATTTGTTGAGTTGTAAGCGTTCTTCATGTACTCTAGATACAAGTCCTTCATCAGACACATGATTAACAAATATTTTCTCCCATTCCTTTTGCTTTCTTGGTGGTATGTGTCTTTCATCAAATTTGTAATTCTGATGAAATCCAGTTTATCTGTTTTGTTGCTGCTTGCATTTTTGGTGTCAAGTCTAAGTCCAAGGTCATGAATATTTACACTTATGTTTTTCTCTGAACATTGCAGATCTTACATTTAGGTCTGAGACCCATAGTCAGTTAATTCTTACATGTGAGGCAGGAATCCAACCTTGCTCTAAAAAAATAGCTTTTAAGACTGCCTTTCTACGTGAACAAACCAAGTGTATGCAGAATGCTGTCCTTACCACTCCCACAATACAAATTATAGAGTATTGATGCACAGCATAAACTTGTAAATGCACCACTAATCCCTAAAACTACCACTTTTTTTTTAACTTTCGTTTTTTAAAGATTCAAGTTATTTATTTTTAGAGAGAGGGTAATGGAAGGAGAAAGAGAGGGAGAGAAACACTAGTGTGTGGTTGCCTCTCCTGCATCCCCACTGGGGAGCCAGCCCGCAACCCAAACATGTACCCCAAGAGGAAGCGAACCAGTGACCCTGTGGTTCGCAGGCTGGCACTCAATCCACTAAGCCACTCCAGCCAGAGCCCCACTACCTTTTAAAGTTTGTGGTCTGCCCCACTTCCTCTGTGAGCCCCTCCTACTTTATTTTGAGTCACGTTTGTATTTTGGACCTGGTCCTAGGCTGCCACAACATGGGCAACAGAAATCTCTTAAGAGTCTTTTCCAATGTAAAATAATCCAACACTTTGAATAACTTAGAAAACGCTAAGCTTCAGCATTAGGCATTTTTCTAACCTTATAAAGAGGCTTTTTGTCTACTTACACAAAGGACATTTGAAAGGAAAAAAAAGTCATGTCCATACGTACGAGGCTGAATTCAGGGAGAAGATGCGGCGAAGCTGTTGCAGAGCCTGTCTTACCTCTCTTGATCCTGCCGTCGCGTGCGAGGCAGCCATGAGGCGGCACGCTGGTCACAAAGATGGGCAGCTCGCCACTCTTACTGCCTCTGCCCCCAGCAACGGTCATTCCGAGGGACTCGTGCGGCTCCTTCTTTACAGTGATGTGTTTTTCCTGGCACGTAACACACTGGGTAAGATCCTAATTCATGAGAGAAAAAATTCATTGAATATATTCACTGGAATAAATAATATACAGCAAAGAGGACAGTTTAAACTAATGTAAAAACTTGTGTGGCCACTGCAAGTCATTTTATTTATCACTTACTATAGAACTGAAAGTAATACACAATCCCTCATAAGTACAAAAACTACAACGATCACTGCGCGTCACCATGTCAAACTTAGGACTAGCATATTTTTCTATGAGTATTTAGTTATGAAACTGAAGCAACTCAGGACTGTTGACACGTGCAGGTTAAAGTAAAATAGGCACATCATTTGTGCAGTTACCTAAACTCCAACATATGGTCAAGTCTATAAAAGTAATGCATTTGAGTTTTAAGATTCTAAAGATGAGCCAATTAACTTTTCTTCCATCTTTCTCCCATATTCTTTGAAAGAAAAATCGACAGATTAGTACAAAAGTAAAATGTTTTTGCCAACTGCAGAAACAAGCTACAGATTATCTTCTGATTCTTACTGATGAGGATTATCAGAATAATCTGTCATGAAGCAGCTGCAAATCCACCTTCAAAACCTTATGAAAAGCTAAAAGGATATGAAATAACCAAATTTTTAAAGAAGTTTCTGACAGGGAAATAAATTTCCAACAAACTACATCCTTAAGGTAAAGCTATTTTTAGTGACATTTGTTATTGCTCCTTATTACTGTGATACTCCTGGAAGAAAAGACCAATACATCACTCATATTTCTGAATTAGAATCCAATACAAAACAAGGAATACATATGCAATATTAATATTAAGATAACAATAGCTAACCTTTACTGAGGGTTTACTATGTGCAAAGCTAATGACTCTACACGCATGATTTCACTTCTGTCTCCCACTGTCCCCCTTTATAGACAGGGAAATCACCTCAGAAAAATCATGGAAGTTGCCCCAAATCATACAAGTGACTGCACTGGAATTTGAACTGATGTGAGTTTTACAAATATACATATTAATATAGGGTTTGTATGTGTTCATGTAGTATGATGCACTATGTATGTCTATGGTTTATACACACCCAAACCACCATCCCGCTAAATGTTGACAGTGCAAGGTAAGGCCTCGAAGGTTTCTAACACTTACCAGCTATAAGAGAATGTTAGAAATAATGAAATAATTATATTAATGTTATTAACAATGCTAACAATGGAAATATATGAATTATATTTCCAGAATTGTAACATTTCCTTTAGCAACATAAAGTCAGAGTTGACATGCACAGTCCTGTTACCCAGGTCCTGGAATTCTAGGCCAGGTGCCCCCCACTGGTCCTGGAATCCCTGCAGTCCTGAAATTTTATCAAGCGAACTGTCTGTGGTACATAGCACAGCATTCCTGGAGAATGTTATGACCTAGTAGAACACTTGTAAATGTCTTAGGTGGTCTCCTATATTGAAGTATCAAATCTGTTAGTATGCTCCAAAATTGGGCAAAACCATTTCATTATGAAGACAAGTCATGTGAACTCAGCCTTGAGTGCATTTACTGAAGCATTTCCACTCTCAGGTGTCTCACCATTTAAGGGTGGTGCTTTTATTCCTGAGAGCTGGCATGAATGCATCATTTTCCTCAGAACCAAACCTAACTTCAGGGATCACACCCAGTGAGCTTCAAGGAACCGCCTCAGGATTCAGCACCGTTTGAACGTCTGTCTGAGCAGCTACTAAGAAGCTTAGTAGCAGACTGAGGTATACTTTACTTTTAATGATTATAGTCACATGAACATGTTGTTTTGGTGAACTTTATGTTTGCTTCCCTAAGAGACTTTTATTTTTCCAAATCAGGATTTTACATAACAAGAGGAAGAGTAAATAGCCAAATTAACACTTAAAGTACTTTAATGTGGCTATTCTACCTAACTAGGTTTGCAGAGTACCTAGACTAAGAATAAATTCAACATTGCTATTTAAAACACCATCGCATAAAATTAAAGAGAAGAAAAATTAGCAGAGTTAAAAGAGAAAAATATATGTACCCCAAACAAAATGAAGTAAGCAGTTATCTATATGAATGTTGAAATGATTAAGTAGAGTTTTTAAAACTGTCCCATGCCTTAAAACTATGTCAGACATTTATATCTCAAATTATTGTAGAATTCAATGACAGAAAAGATTCAATAGTCAACTTATGGCTTATACTATCTATTCTTTGGAATATATATCTTATAAAGCAAGGAGAAGCTATATGAAACAACTCCTATCAAAAATTTCTATTCAAAACACAGATTCCTTTATCATAGTCTCCATTATGAATGCAAAATTATAGGTTTCCTTCATACATTTTGGTTTTTATTCAGAAATGAGAACAAAGTCTGTGGTTGTACTTTCACGTGAAGTATTAACTAAACCAAAGGCCAGTGAGTGACAAGTCTGTGCTGAAGCTCAGAAAACCAGAGAAGTCCGACGGCCCCCAGAGACTCCGGTCTTTAAGGAATGCTTTCCTAGGGCGCCTGTGACACTGCACAGGCAATTACTTTCTCAAATACCGAACTTAACATTAAAAAGCCATCTTGGCACATAGGGAATTTCTATGGTTTTTAAGCAGACTAACAGATAAGTTTTTGTTTGGTAACACAATTTAATTTTACTTAAGGAAAGTGACTGTCTTTGGAAGCTCACAGTAGCTTCTATGTTCAAATGGTTGGATGAATATCCTCGTTGAAAAAATCCTGGCCTACCAGAAACTTAAGTGAAGGATCAAATGAAGAACATAATATCAAAAACGCAGTAAAGTACCTCCCTTTTTTGCTTTCTGCAACTAAAGTTAGAGTATCAAAATTCTCAGTACAGATAAACATGTCTTAGGAATATTACACCAGTGAATATTAAAGAAGCTGTAAAAATGCTCAACATATTTTAAATAATTCCCATATAAACTATAACATAAAAAGAAATGTACTATACTAGTACCTACCAAAATGTATGATTCATAGGTTTAATAATCCCATATCTAATTCTGTTGTTGTAGGCAGCCTGTTCAATTGCTGAGTATAGACCTGTCCATCACTGTCTTCATTTTGCTTTTTTGGTCAGATAACTGTTACATTAAATGAGCAACCAAAACAAAGCCCACTCTCGAGCAGGACTACACACACAGAAAATTTCTTGTGGAAGATCAAACACTTCTTGTCAATCGCCTGGCTGAGGGACTCTCCTCAGAACCCGTCCCCACTGTCTGAGGACCTGAAACGACAGTTACTCTCCAAGGCAGCAAACATCCACATTTCACATCCTCAACACCCATGCTCACCTTCTCCAACAGAATAACGGCCCTCGTTTAAATTTTACCAGCTTGTAACAATGATCCTTGGAGGGCAGAGAGATTACAACACACACACACAGAACACCTCACCTTATGTGAGCTGGGCCTGCTGTAATATAGCGCCTGTGCCTGGTGCTGGCTGCTGCTCGGAACTCCGGCTTCTCGGACAGCGTTACCCGGCTGGGCCTTCCCTGGTCTAGCAATCGTTAGATTCACCCTCTCCCCACTAGCCTGGAGAAAACACAGACATTACCACCTGTCGTTAGTGACACTTCTCACTGTAAAAATTATAGGCAGTATAATTTCCAATGCACTATCGTTACAGCAGAGCCTCGGCTGGGTAGTGACTGCAAATACCTGGTGGTGAGAGGAAGAGGGTTTGTCTAATGGGTTAAATATGTGAAAACTTCTGCAGTTGAGTATCACACACATACAGCCCTTAGACAAGCCCCACCTGCAAAATAACCAAGCAAAGCAGTACAACTGCCTGTGTTCTCATCTCCCCTTATTTTCTTGATTTTTAAAAAATACTTCCCTTTCAATATCAGCCTTGGCATTGAGAGGGAGATGGCAAAGGAAAGAACATAGAAAGGAAGAACTGATTTGAAACTTGATTAAAATCCCTTGTAACTTTTGAAATCAATGTCATGGTGGCTACTTTGGAAGTAATAATCAACAAAACAACACACAGCTTTGTTTCTGCTTGAACAGATCTGAGGACAAAACAGGACATCAGCTTAGACCAGGGTGTCCAACTCATTTTCACCAGGGGCCACATCAGCCAGTTGTCTTCAATGGGCCAAATGTCATTTTAGGACTGTATAAATGTAACTACTCCTTAACGAGGGGCAGGGAGCTTGGCGCTGCTGCTGGGCAGACACAAAGGTGCTGGGCCAGATGAAACAAGGTGGAGGGCTGGATTCTGCCCCCAGGGCTTGTGTTTGCCACCTGTGGCTTAAACAGTCCTGAAAAGGATTATAGAGATCCTGTATGACAACCTATGTACGTCTTATTACACATATACACACTGTATTACATGTGACACAGCCATCCACATGTCCTTAAGTATTACCGTACTTACTTTAGAGGCTCATGACTATTGTTTTAAATTTAAAGGTCCATTATCTATATATTTATATTTTAAACACAGATTCATATCTAGTATATATTTTAAATGTTACTTAATATTTATTTAAAATTATGTTATCTTTGCATTTAATGTATAGGCCTAATTTATTTAATGCTGATTCTTGATCATGACCACAATTCCCAATTTTATTATTATTATTCCTATGGAAAAATATAATAGCCTACCTTCAAGGAATTATGGCAGAAAGAGGGGAACTCCCCCATAACTATAGTCAATAAGTTAAGAAATAAAGTCAAAAGTTAATAAATAAGTATATAGCCAATAAGTTAAGAAATATAGTCAAAAGTTAAGAAATTACTCTATTTTTAGTTCTTAAATTAGAAAATAAGTGATAAGTAACTTTAGGGTCTCAATGAAAATCACTTTCCTATTGAAGCATTTTATTAAACTAAATAGTTTCAGACAGGTTCTTTAGAATAACTGAAAGACAGTCAGCATGGCCAGATATCCAAAGCAGAGTGTAAGGACTTGATCTAAAGGATAAATAACAAAACAGAACAGTTAGAATCCTGATATTTACAGTACAGATTATTTAGATCACACAATGTGAAGTGGTGAGATGCTCCCCTGTCTGACTTCCTTTCAATGAATAGGATTATTTTCATTCAGCTTAATACCTCATAACTACCAAACACTTTATAATCAGTATTTCAACTTCACTGGAAAACCCGTTTACACAAACTTTAAACGAAAATAAATCACTGATCTTCCTAGATTGCTTAAAAGACAAAATTCTTTGCACATCATGGAAGTGGGCATTTAGGCTTCAAATGCTGAACAAACATTTGCATTTAAACTACCTTTATTATTATTATTTTTAATCTGTATTTTTTAAATTGTTGTTCCAGTATAGTTGTCTCCAATTCCTGCTCCCATACTCCTCGCAGTCCAGCCATCCCCACCTCCCACCCTCGATCCTACCCCCCTTTGGCTTTGTCCATGTGTCCTTTATACATGTTCCTGAAAACCCTTCCCACTTCCCCACCCCATTACCCTCTCCCACCTTCCCTCTGGTTACTGTCAGTTTGTTCTTAATTATAATGTCTCTTGGTTATATTTTGCTTGCTTATTTGTTTTGTTGATTAGGTTCCACTTACAGGTGAGATCACCTAAGTGCCCATCAGTAAATGAATGGATCAAAAAACGACGGTACATTCACACAGCGGAATACTACACAGCAGAAAGAAAGAAGGAGCTCTTACTGTTTTGCAACAGCATGGATGGAAGTGGAGAGCATTATGCTAAGTGAACTGAGCCAGGCGGTGAAAGATCAACTAAATTTAAATAGGCTGTACATCTCATACTCCAGGGTTTCAAACACAGCAAGAGCTGGGTTGAAGACAAGATTTTTTAAAATGCAGGATGCCTAAATGACAACACCCATAATTCATAAATAAGTAGCATGCCTTGTTGCTGGGAGGATAAATTGGTATGATATTTCTGAAGGGAAGTTAAGCAAAATGTCTTAAACTTGAAAATGAAATGTAAGTTACAGAACACAACATGCCAATTACACAGCTATTAAAAATCATGATGTGTGTCGCCCTGGCTGGTGTAGCTCAGTGGACTGAGCATGGGCCTACAAATTGAAGAGTCACCAGTTCAATTCCCAGTCAAGGCACATGCCAAAAAAAAAAAAAGAAGGAAAAATCATGATGTAAATCTACACTTATTGTCATGATAAGTCCACAACATACTGCTGACATAAAGAAAAAGCTGAAGCCCTGGCTGGTGTAGCTCAGTGGATTGAATGTGGGCTGTAAACCAAAAGGTCAAGGTTCAATTCCCAGTCAGGATACATGCCTGGGTTGCAAGCCAGGTCCCCAGTGGGGGACTTTCCAGAGGCAACCACACATTGATGCTTCTCTCTCTCCTTCTCCCTCCCTTGTCCTCTCTCTATAAATAAATAAAATAAAAATAAATAAATAAATAAATATCACAGTGGAAGTGTCTTCTCTGGACAGCAGCTGGAGGGTATCCACAGATGAAGGTCCAAATGCCGCCTCTGCTTTCAAGAAATTTCAAGGCATACAATTTCTTAAAATCTCAAGTCTATGAACTAAGACCAATAAATGAATCTCCTCTCAATGCAAAATGACTCTGTGTTTCTGTAAGAGTACATCAAACCAAAAAGTTAAAAAAAAGAGCAAGTTAAAGAGGATTGAGACTTGGGTTTTCTTATAGTCTTAAATTTTCATTGTCATTTGATTCTATGTAGTATGCACAATTTTAGTGACTATCAGCTTACTTAATTCCTTATGCTCAAATATATTAATGCTTGATTTCCTTTGCAGTGTTTTCTTGTGCTTTAAAAAAAAGACATTTTGTCTTCCACCTTGGTCTCTGTAGGCGGAACCCACATGGGGTTGAATTCCATGGCAGGTTACAGAACCTGAAATCTTCTTTGGATGGTTTCAAATTTATCTATTTCAATGTTCTTATGACAACATGGTTTTCTATAATAATAACTATCCTTACCTTCTCCACAGGGATACAGTCAGGAGAAGTGTTATGTGTTTGAAATGCTTTAAATTCCTTAAAATAAAAAAAGGAATTATAGAGATGAGTTACTCTTAATAAAAAATGACTTTCCCTCTATTTTTATGGATCCTGAAGTGAAGAAGGAAAATTAAGAGACAAGGTAAGTTAGAACCTTAATAATCAGAGCTTCTTTGAGCCTCTTTTCTCATCTGTTAAATGTGGACAACACCATCTGTTATGATGGAGCCAAGAGAGCAAATGAGAAAATGCACGTGAAACTTTAGACACTTTATAAATAACCAGCCCGAAAGTTCAGGGAACACCATATTTAGAAGAAATCCTATCTATAGTGAAGTTATACTACTGTGGATTTTGAAGAATTCAGATAGCCATGCTTGGTTTGTCCAGTGAAATATAAAATATGCCCTAGATTCTTATGTTATTGGCCAATGAAACAATCATTGATACACGGTAGGGAAGGCCAAGCACCTGGAAAGCAGGTCTCACGTTTACCTGAATGATCTGCGCGGCCAGCTCGGGAGTCCCGTGCTTCAGATCGTGCCCGTTGATGGCCAGCACGCGATCGTTGCTGCTGAGCCTCCCATCCTGTGCGGCAAGCCCCCCTTCCAACAGGTCAAGGATAAAAACTCCGGGCTCGTCTGTCCTTCGTACGAGTTTGATGCCGAGCTGCTCACCGGAGTCCCGTTTATGAAGAACCACATGGAAAATCTCTTCTCGTGGAGAGTTCCCATCAGAATGGTTATGTGCTCGGTTACCAAAGCGTCTCTCTCGAAGCACAGTGAGCTGCAGGGCGCTGCAGGGCTGCGAAAGGACAGCTCTGGCGTAATTGTGGGACACATTACTAATATCATAGTTGTTGACCTAACAAAAAGAAAAATTATGACCAAAATGTGGCAATCTTTTTTCCCCAATCTGTAGAAATAACATTTCCCAAAGAAACTAACATTGTGACATGTTATACAATCATTAGTTACAAGGAAATCTACTCTAAAAACACCCTAAAATTAACTTACAATGATTAGCATTAAGTAGAGAATAACAGTTAGGATCACGGGGTTAATGAGCGTCCTGAGTTGGCATCCTTGGTTCTGCCATGTAACTCGTTTGAGTGTGTGCTTCCCCGGGTGTGCAGTGTATCACACAGGTGGGGCTGAGGTGGGGCAGGAAGAACAAATGCACTCCTGTATATGGGGACACAGGCCACATGACAAAATCCCAACCTGCTTTACATATAAAAACCGCAAAACTTATTTTTATATCATTCGGGTTCCCCAGTATCACAATTTTCCAAGTTTTAAATTTAGAAATATTCCCTGGCTGGTGTGGCTCAGTGGATTGAGTGCTGGCCTGTGAACCAAAGGGTCACCAGTTCGATTCCCAGCCAGGGCACATGCCTGGGTTGCAGGCCAGGTCCTCAGTAGGGGACGCACTAGAAGAAACCACAACATTGATATTTCTCTTCCTCTCTTCCTTATCCTTTCTATAAACAAACAAACAAACAAACACAATCTTTAAAATTAAAAAGCATGTGAAAAAAATAAAAAGGTGCAAATTAACAGGATTAAAACTGGTACCTGAAGAATCTGGTCTCCAGCAAGGAGTCTTCCATCTCTGGCGATTATCCCATCCCGATAGACTTCCTGAATAACAATGTTAATCAGTGGTGTTTCATTGCCACCCACAATGCTAATTCCTAATTGAATATAAGGGTTAGAACGGTGAATTTCAATCGTGGTGATTTCGCCTTCTGGTAAACCAGGTGGCTGTTGTGTGGCTGCCAAGTTAAAAATGAGAGAGAAAAATAGATGGAAAGAAAATAAATGTTTTATATTTTGATGTTCTTCTGGTAAATAAGTCATCTTCTGTTAACAGATGATTAATAACCGACAATACCACTGGATAAGAATAACAGAATGACAAAAATATCTATGTTAAGATCATCTAAACACTTCCTCTTCTGAAGGTGATCAGTATATAACCAACCAACAGCTACTATGTAACAGATCACTAGGGAAGACATAATGATCCGATAAAAAAATACTAAGAGAATGTCATCTTGTCCTAACTGATAAGAGAAAGTCTGAACCATGAAACAACTGTAAACCACGCAAGGCAGTATGAAGACTGACTCTGCGGTATGTGATCACCATGGATGATGAAAGAGTCATCACGTCAGCTCTAAGAAGAGGTGGGTCTTGAGCCTTAGGAGGTGGAAAAGAATTATAGCACTAGCAGGGAAAATGGAGTATGTTCAGTAAAATCTGGAGTTTTGTAAGAAACAATCAAATTTAAAAGCCAGCTACTGAGATACACCCCAGATCTAGGACCCCAGGCTTCCTGCTCGTTCCCAGTGGGTTGTGCAGTCGGACGAGTGGCTGCTGCCAGGGGACTGCGGCGGTCACAAGCGAGGCCTTGAAGACACACAGGTACCCACCTCGCCACTTCTAGGCAGTATGAGCTAGACCAATTAATCTCTCAAGACTCAGTTTTCCCACCATTAAAAAACAAATTTCATATTATTATTACAAGGATTTAATCGCCTAACTTATATAAGGTGCTTGACACTGAGCCCAACACAGAGCAAGCACTTAATCTGAGGTATTATTTTTGTCATGTTTGACGTTATTGATTTCTTAGTCGAGAAGTGACAAACTTCTGAACACATGAGCTGACAAGAAGCATATTAGTGTTTAATGAATTCATGGACTACAACAGAAGAGGGGTAAGAAGGAGTACCTTCTCCCAGGGTAAGCTCCATGTTCTTTTTCTAAAATGCCAACTGTTAGACTTTTAAAGGGTGATTTTTGTGGCACATAAATTATATCTCAATCAAGTTATATTTTAAAGAGCAAAAATGCACGTTGGAAAAATCATAGGGAACAGAAGGAAAGAAGCAAATGTCTGATTTGAAAACATGAAAAATAAAAGAAAGAGGTAAATGGCACGTACTGTCGGCAACGGCACTCTCCTCAAAGGCAGGGTTGTCCAGGCCAGGCTCCTCGGTCCACGCAGGAAGAGAGGCTGAGGTCAGGCTCCGCTCGGCGGGCCCCGGGCCTGTCCCTGAGCAGTCTGGTTCGGGTGACAGGGTACCTGGGAGATCTAGTAGAGTGGTTCCATTCTCGTTCTCAGTCTCTGCCTGAGTTTTACTAGTTTTTCTTCTCTCTAGGGCAACTCTCCAATGAGAAGCTCCTGGACACCTACAAAGAGAGCATCAGACAGTTTCCATGCACAAGCACCAAGAGGTACCCACAGCAGTACATAATGCCTCTTGAACTCAATTCTTACCACTCCACACAGCCAACTTAAGACAAGGCATTGGCATAAACAGGGTTTGGCATATATCTCAAAGAATACTTCAACATAAAATTGTATTCAGCTATATGCTAGTACCGGAAACGCAGAGTATACAGTATGGTTGACTCTATACTGCAGGACTTATTCTGAAATTCTGATTACAACCCCTTTTTACACGTTAAATGGCTCAACCACAGCGGTGGAAACCAGCAGTCTTCCTCCTTAACAAGCCTTTAAATGCTTAGAATTTAAGTGCCAATATACCTCTACACTCCCATGGTCAATGTGACACATTTACTCACCAGTGGACAGCCATGCATGTGAAGTTTTACCACTCACAGAAAAGCACAGCAAAAGCCCAAATAACTTTATTATAGGCATGGAAGGAAGTTAAAAAAAAAAATATATATATATATAAAATCTCCTAGTTTGTAAAATTAGAACTGCAACAGTGGAATTCAGATATGCTATGTAGGTTAAAAATATATTCCAAGTACTTAGGAAACTTACATAAGCATCAAGAAATAAGAACTGTTAACTTGCTTGTTTTTATTTATTTACGGAAACAAAAGGGCAGATAGGTGCTTGCTTAAACATCTAAATAAAATTCTACACAGACTAGAAATGTCTTTTCCATTTGACCCTTTTACTGGACAGCATGCGGCTGCGCAGTCTGAAGGGTGGGAGAAGGACAGAGGATCAGTGAAGGGGTGTCAGACACACATTCCCACGGCCCAACACGACGACTCTGACACCACGTACTTCCATGTTGGGACAAGAAGGTACAAAAAGGCAACAGTTTTATGTCTAGGATTGTAGATCTTCATTCACTGACAATATTTTTTAAAATGTAAAATTTTGATAAAAATTGAGTATGGGATTCAATTCAATTAAAATTGAAAGCTATCCCTTAACTATAATAAGAATAAATTTTTCCTCATGAACTGAAGATTTAAGTTCTGGATTTCAAGTTCTTGGAAAGGATCATTGCAAAGTTTCTTTACTCAACTTTCTCTCACTGCTTATCTTCTCGTCCCCGTGCGAAGAAGGGGCCGACTGACTTTGCTCACTGCGCTGCAGTGCAGCACTCCAGGGGGTGTTCCTACAAAGATGCCACAAATAGTTTTGAAAGCTGCATCACCAAAAAAGTTATTTTTGTAAGTAGATTTAATCAGAAATGCATTTTGAAAATGTTTTACTCAATACAAAATTTGAGGCAAAAACTGGATCATAAAAAATATTTGTGACTAAACAGATAAAGATTTAATTCCCCAAATATATGAGAGTATATCATACACAAATATACACATGGCCAATAGCTAGTCTTCAATGGAAAACATGAACCAGGAACAGGAAATACAAAAACAAAATATGAACACCTGGGAATTAGCTTTGCTAATAAAAAAAATCCTACAAACTAAAAAATTACAAAGCCTAACATAGTTGTTAAGTATGCAAAAATAAATTTAAAAAGAAAACCTGAAGTTGTTAGAGAAGTAAAGAAACAGGTACACTTAAATTCCCAATGGGACAGCAAACTGCTAATAGGAACTAAATAAATTTACTTTAAAATGATATCATATAAAAATATGAAAGAATGATCTTAACCAGCATTGGAGGAAATTATAGAGAAAACCTTTGGGAATACCCATATTTCAGTAAGATGGATCAGCTCAGTAGATTGAGATAGAAGAACAAGACAAGAGGAGACGAAAAGAGAAATACTTCGAAGCAATCAAGGGACAGAGGAGTGCCACCAAAGAAAAAGTGACTGATAACACACACAAGGAGCAAATAAGAGAAGGAGCAAATAAGAGAAGGACCAAAAAGCATTACTTTGATTAAGCAATGAAAAGGTCATGGACAAAGCTTAGGAAAAACACTTTCAGTGATGAGGACAAAAGCCCAAGCTATGATACCAGCATTTCTGCTACTGCAATACGAGCATCTACAAAAACTATACAGTAAGAATTACAATGCTTAATGAATAAGAAGATTGGGAAAGACCATTCAAAACCTGTGCAGGGGAATGGCTGCTATCAGGGATGAGGTTTCTTTGGGGGATGTTGGAAATGTTCTGAAAATTAAGACTGTGATGATGGCTGCATACTCAGGTAGGGGCTGGCTGAGAACCCAGGGCAGGGCAGCAGAGCCTGAGGGTGGGGTTGGCTGAAAGGGCCTCCAGTGAGACAGCAGACCATTTGGGTGGGACTGGCTAAATGGGAAACTGAAACTCAGAGTTGACTGTGGACTACTGTGGGGGTTGCCAAGGTGGAAGAAACTCCCAGTCTCACACAAGGGTTTGTTGGAAAGTGGGGCTAGAGCCCAGCAAGCTGCATTGTTCCCTCTCTGCCCCCTCCCCTATAGACTGCACCACAGCACAGCACAGAAGGTTGCCCTGCTCTGGTGAATACCTAAGGCTCCACCCCCTTACAACTTAACAGGTGTGTTGGGATAAAGAAATATGGCCCCAAATGAAAGAACAGAGCAAAACTCCAGAAAAAGAGCTAACCCACAAGGAGATAGCCAATCTATCTGATGGAGAGTTCAAAACCCTGGCAATCAAGATGCTCACAGAACTGATTGAGCTCAGTCACAAAATGAAGAAATGAAGGCTATACAAAGTGAAATAAAGGCAAATGTACAGGGAACCAACAGTGAACGGAAGGAAACTGGGACTGAAATCAACAATTTGGAACAAAAGAAAAAAATAAACATTAAACTGGAACAGAATGAAGAAACTAGAATTCAAAAAAATGAAGAAAGGCTTAGGAACCTCTGGGACAATTTTAAACGTCCCGATATCCGAATTATAGGGGTGCTAGAAGGAGAAGAACAACAGCAAGAATTTGAAAACTTATTTGAACAAATAATGAATGAAAACTTCCCCAATCTGGAAAAGGAAACAGACTTCCAGAAAGTTCATGAAGCCCAGAGAGTCCCAAAGAAGTTGGACCCAAAGAGGAACACACCAAGGTACATCATCATTAAGTTACCCAAGATTAAAGATAAAGAGAGAATTCTAGAAGCAGCAAGAGATAAGGAGGCAGTTATCTACAAAGGAGTTCCCATAAGACTGTCAGCTGATTTCTCCAAAGAAATATTGCAGGCTGGAAAGAAATATTTGAAGTCATGAAAGGCAAGGACCTACATCCAAGATTACTCTATCCAGCAAAGCTAGCATTTAGAATGGAAAGGCAGATAAAGTGCTTCTCAGATAAGGTCAAGTTAAAGGAGTTCATCATTACCAAGCCCTTATAACATGAAGTGTTAAAGAGACTTATCTTTTGAAGAAGATAAAAAACTATGAACAGTAAAATGACAACAAACTCACAACTATCAACTGAACCTAAAAACAAACAAACGAACAAACAAAAACCAAATACTAAGCAAATACAACAGGAACAGAATCAGAGAAACAGACATATGTAGGGTTTTCAGTGGGGGAAGGGGAGGGGAAGAATGGGGGGGAAGATACAGGGAATAAGTAGTGTAAGTGATAGGCATAAAATAGACAGACAGAGGTTAAGAATAGTATAAAAAACAGAGAAGCCACAGAATTTATGTGTACAACCCATGGACATGAACTAAGGGGCAGGGGATGCTGGAGGGTTGGGTGGTGCAGGGGGGAAAGAGGATAAAGGGGGAAAATTGGAAAGACTGTAATAGCATAACCAAAATTACGAACAACTAAAACCAATGCAACTTATTAAATGGAATATTTAACAATAATAATACAAACTGCAATTGGCATTGGGGAATATAATTTGGATTATTCAAGCAGGTAACTCAGTGTAGCAGGAGGCTAGTGTACAGCATATTACCAATGAATAAAAACAATAGAGAAGAAATACATGCAACATTTAACCAGATCAGGGTAGGCGTGTGCTCACGCAATGCAGAGGGCAGTGGAGCTCTGAGGTGGTGGGCCACTGGAGGCAGTATGAACTGCCGCAGGCTAGGCTGTATATCTTCCCAGGGAGGGAGATCTATTGCAGGTGTGTTTTTAAATTTTCTTAAATAAAACCAAAAGGTTCTTGCAGCAACCTGAGCCAAACTGAGGGACTTTTCCTTTCCTGCTTAAGGCTATACTTCCATTTCCATTAGTCTCTCTCTCCTTATGGAGGAAAAATTACATAAAATTTATGATATAGTGGCATCATTCCCTGATACGACAATGATTCACATTAGGACACATACAGTGTAACGGAATATACTATATTATGAGTGGCAGTGGTGGGTTACAGTACTATAAGTAAAATAAAATGATGCATGGTAAGTCCCAGCACAATGAGAAGTACTTAATGAAACTGAAAGAATATGAGCATCCTAAAAATAAGACAAATGGTAAGAAATAGTTATAGATTAAAATATGCAAAAATCAATTCAAGTGACATCAGTGAAAATCGTAGATTAAGGGTATTTGAGAAGACTCTCCTCCATAAAGCAATGTGAAAAATTTTTCAAACACAACTATTTCTTAGCTTTTGAAATCAGCCAAAGTTCTATAGCAATCCAGAGCACATTTTTTTCAAGAAAAATATGTGAATCTCAGTAAAAGCAGTGAGCTTTACGGCATTTGAACTTGCCCTGCCCCCATCCCCCTCTCCCTAGCTCCACAAAAGCCTGGAAAAGCATTCACCCAGAGTCACAGTGATATCAGAGGTTTGGAAGCCACTGGAGGGGTCGACTGGCATGCCTTCAAAGCCTCATTCCTAGAGAACTGTCATTAACTGAACTTGTGGTTACATGAAGACCCCACTTGTAAGGCTGTCTTTAACTAACCTGACTTGGAGCCCACCTCTCCACTGGGGGAATTTGTTGAAAAAAAAATTAGAGGCAATTGTTTAAGATTGTGGCTGTCTGAGGGGGTCAAACAAAAGGCTAATCAAAAGCTTTAAAA